TTGACGACTGTATTGGCATTACATCTGGCTCATTAACTGAATTGAATGATTTTATAACCTACGCCAACGGCTTCCATCCAGCGATAAAATTCACTCATGAAATATCCGACAAATGTGTGCCATTCCTCGATATCATATTATCCATCGATAGACCTGGACTTTCTACATCAATCTACTACAAGGACACCGATGCCCACACATATCTCTGTCTCTTATACACATCTCTTCTGTGAGGAAGCATGTAACGCACCCACGGTAATTATCAGCGAATTTCTTGATAGAATACTCAAACCCTTAGTCCAGAATTTACCTTCATACATCAAGGATAGTAAGGAAGCGGTTAAACTATTTAAAGATTTTCAATCTAATACTGACAGTGGCTATATATTTACGATGGACGTTGTTTCACTATATACATCAATTCCAATTCAGGACGGCCTTCTTGCTTTGCAATACTTTCTTGAACTGAACCACTCCACTAAGTACACCTCATCTGTTATTTTACGTCTAGCTGAACTGGTCCTTACTACTACCGCATTCAATTTCAACGGAAAGTACTATCGTCAACTGTCAGGAGTGAGTATGGGAAGTAAGATGGCTCCTAATTTTGCTTGTCTTTTTATGGGTCATTTGGAACACAATCTTCTACAATCATTTAAAGGGAAAAAACCTGATATTTTCAAGAGGTATATTGACGACTGTATTGGCATTACATCTGGCTCATTAACTGAATTGAATGATTTTATAACCTACGCCATCGGCTTCCATCCAGCGATAAAATTCACTCATGAAATATCCGACAAATTGTGCCATTCCTCGATATCATATTATCCATCGACCTGGACTTTCTACATCAATCTACTACAAGGACACCGATGCCCACACATATCTCAACTAAGTTCTTCACATCCTCCGACTTGTAAGCATGCTATTATACCCTATTTGCAACTGGTTAGACTCAGACGTATCTGCAGCGATGACGATGACTTCAAGAATAAAGCTACAGAAATGAAACAATTCTTCAATGCTCGTGGTTATCCTTTAAACATAACTGACAGGTCACTTGAAAAGGTCCATCAACTCACGCAGAAAGACACTCTACAGCCGAATCACAACGCCAACAATATTGAACGTATCCCATTGGTACTAACCTATCATCCAATTAGTAAGAAAGTGGCGAAAATTGCTAGAGACAATTTCAGTATCCTCACAGAAGACAGATCTAACACCAAGGACATCTTTCTAGCTCCTCCTATGTTAGCTTACAGAAAAGATCGCAATCTCAGTGACAATTTAGTACGCTCTAAGCTACGACCAGATACCACCACTACTAATGACTTAATAGGTACTTTCAAATGTGGTAGAAATAGATGCACTACCTGTAAATATATATCATGTACTGCTTGTATCACTGGACCCAATGCTGAATTTCATGTTGAAGATCATATTACTTGTACTACCAGGAATCTCATTTACTGTGTTCATTGTATAAAATGTAACATGTTATATATTGGTGAAACCAAGCGTAGATTGGGAGATAGATTTGTGGAACATTTACGTTCTATAAAACTTAAAACACCTGGACTCCCAGTTGCTGCTCATTTCTCTAATAACCATACACTTTCTGATATAATAGTCACTGGTGTTAAGATTTGTAACAGTTCAGAAATATCTCGTAAGAAATTAGAGGAACGAATTATTTATAAACTTGGTACTCTCACACCTAATGGTATGAACGCATCATTTAAGACTTTTAGGTAATTATCCATGGGTACTCTGTATTAGATATTACTCGCTTTATTTGTTCTACGGCTGTTTTATTCATGATTTTTTTTGTTATATTGTATTTATTACTTCATAATATGTAATTCTTGATTTTCGTTCTCTAAGGCGAGTCCTTTTTTGCTCTTTTTATCAGAGGGTTTAATACTTATTATCCGAGGGCATATTTTTTAGATGTAACTCGCATTATTGGTTACTATGCCTGTTTTATTCGTATGATTTTATACTACATTGTTCAGTACTTCTTATGTCATGTAATACTTGGTTTAGGCTCTCTAGGTGTGTCCATTTTGACTTTATTTAGGTGCCTGCCCCATTGTTCTATTGTATTGTTTTATTTATGTTCTTTGTTTATTACGACGCATGAGCTTGGTTGACTGCTTATTATCTGTTTTTTGATTAGATGATCACGTTATACTTTTGTTAATGTACTGCTACTTATTTATCTATTCTTGTCACAGCTTTTCATACCTGATGATGGGCTATGCCCGAAACATGTC